TGCTATGTCTCTTGGTGGCCCTTGGCAGCAAGCTGATTTGCTGGCATGCTACATATCAATTTTTTAAAAAATCAGCTTTCCTCCATTCCCCTGCTGGGATGCAGAGAGATGCAGATTTTTTCTCTCCCCCCCCCACTTCCCTTAAATGTTCACCCTATGTTACTTGGTGGCAAACTGATTCATCAGTACAGTGGTGCCTCACTTAGCGATGTTAATGTGCTTCCCATTGAAATGCATTGAAAACCAGATAATCCATTCCAATAGGAATAAGTTGCCGTCCTTAAGCGAAAATTGCCATAGGAAACATCACTAAGCGAAACACAGTTCCCCAATTGAAATGCATTAAAACCTATTCAATGCATCTCAATGGGGGGGGGATACAACAACAAATTAAAAAAAAGAGTCAGAACAAAGTCAAATTTGGTTAACAAAGGGTTTATTAAGTGCACTTTATGATTTCAAATATTTTAAACAGTAAACTTTATCTTTATAAATAACAAAAAACATTTAAAAAACAGCAAACATGAGGCTGTTTAAACCATCGTTAAGTGAAACAGGGGACCCAAAATTTAATCGCTATGCAAAGCATGGTCCCAACCATCGCTAAGCGAAAATCGCCCATAGGGACCATCACTAAACGAAGCGCAAAAACACTCTGAAAAAGTCGTCACTAAGCGATTTCATCGCTAAACTGAGTGCCCGTTAAGCGAGGCACCACTGTATAAGATTGATCTATACTTTTTTTAAAAAAAAATGCAGCATTTCCCCCACTCCCCAGGCAAGGGGAGACAGAAGAGGGTGTTGGGGCTAAATAGGGTCATTTTGAGAGGTGACATGGTTTTCTGTTCTGAAACCACCTCATCCTTGCATGTGGGTGCAAGGATACCCCAAAGAACATACTGCACCTAAAAGCCACACCCTAGTCACACCCTAAGTCTACCAATTTGCATTAAAAGACAAACCTGTTTAGACCTATCCCGCCCAATCCAACTGGATTGTCTAGTCACACCCTACTGTAAGTCTACCAATTTGCATTAAAAGACAAAGCCTGTCACTTTCACTCAATCCTACCATTGGTCAAACCTGTTTCCACATCCCTGATTTTTTAAAACAGCAAATGAGTTATGAGATTGTTTAGATGGCTTTTAGTGATGGGAGACTCTAACATGTTTTGTTCTAGAACAGCAGAAAATAGTACTAGGTCAGCAAGAGCAAATCACTGAGCATTAACCCACTTTGTTATTTGCTGTCTAGAACTAATTGCACAGCAAAATCTTTAAAAAGTAAAATAAAAAGTGTATATTGCTATTTATGCTTCTCAGCTGGGGAACAAGAGATACTAGACACCTCCATACCTTACATCACTTGAAACATAAACTACACATACATCAAAAGTCTGCTTTGTCAGACCACACCAGGCAAAACTGGTATGAAATAGTGTTCTTCTTACGGGGGAGGGGGCATGCTCAGCAAAAAACCTCAGAAAGTCATATGTATGAAATTATTGGCTAGTACTGTATAAGCAAAACATAATTTAGTTGTCAGAGAAAGTGGTGATATGTATATCGTAAAGCAGGACAAATGGCATTCTGATCAAGCTTTAAATTTAGTTAATCAGGACATAACAGTTTTCAGCATTGTTATTTTAATTAGTTCATTCTGGGAATAAAGAGAATAAAATTGGACATTAACACTATTAAAACACTACTTTATATTTTCTCTAAGTATGAAGTTAAACACCATTCTTGTTATTGTAATGTTTATGTTGTTTTAGTTCAACATGGTTTTCTGAAGAGGAGTGAGCTGTTATTCTAAAACAAAATAGAAGATTTGTCCCCAAGTTCTTAAACAAATGTTATGCTGAATGCTGAGTTTAATTTTTGTGAAAGTATATTACTGTCACCATGAAAAATACAAACCAACAAACAAAAAAGATGCAGGATTCACAATAAAACTTCTTTAGAGTACATCATGTCCAAGCTATACAGTGGGGTCTTGACTTGAGAGCTTAATCCATATTGGAAGGCGGTTCTCAAGTCAAAAAGTTCTCAAGTCAAATCTGCATTTCCCATAGGAATGCGTTGAAAACCATTTGATCCGTATCTGCTCTTTTCCGTCCATAGAAACTAATGGGAAGCTGCTATTCCGCCTTCGACCACTAGAGGGGGATATTTTGTTTCTTTTTTTCTTAGGTCAAGAAAGGTTCAGGGAAGGCAGGGAAAATACAGTCCAGGCAGTACCAGGCAGTCTGAAGACTCCCAACCCACTCTCGAAACGCTGGGAGGAGTGAGGAAGCAGACAGGCACCCTTTTCACTGGCCAACAGTTAACTGAAAGTTCAAATTTTGCACTTTCCCTGCCCTCCACGTGGTTTTTTTTTTCAGTTCTTAACTCAAATCTAAGTACTTAAGTCAAGTCAATATTTTCCTATGAGAGTGGTTCTTAAGTCAAAATGTTCTTAACTCAAGCCGTTCTTAAGTCAAGACCCCACTGTACAATGTTAACTCTTCTATAGTGAAATATTAACCAGATGCCCATGGTTGCAAGGCTTGGGGCTTTGTTTAGTGTCCGACTGATGCACAGTTTGAGTCTGATGCAAGCAGATGCTAGAGAAATAGACCTGAGGCAAGAAACCTGTTCAGCGATGATTTGGCGATCCCATAGTAAGTGAAACTGGCAGGGCAGGGTAATCTGAACTGCTCCTCAAAACATGTGGCTCTGGAGGAGCCTGGCTTGGAAGGAGTGGCTTGATAACCAGCACTGGTGTGTCATTTTTAATCGTTATCTTTTGTTAATTTAAACAATTTAAATATATTGACTTAATTTTAATGATATTTATAATGGAGTTGGCTTTAATGATTTAATTTTTATTTTTTAAGCTAAAAATCATTTTTTATTCTTTTAAATGTTTGTAAGCCACCTTAACATTATTTTTAATGGAAAGGCAGAATATAAATTAGATAGATCTTTTTTCAGTGGTTTGTGAGGCTAACTGACTAAATTTGGCATCAGCTATCAAGCTATTTGCTGACCTATTACAGATTGACCGTCTGCGCTCTCTGAACTTAACCAAAGAAATACAATACACACATTTCTTACAAGAGAAAAATGATACAACTTTATTGGTTATAGCTGCAGTCCCTGGCCAGCACTGGGACATTGGATCTGGTGCGCCGGGAAGCCCAAATGCTCCCCGATGCCCACCACCGTTTGCTTCAGCAGCTGCTAAAAGTTCCACCAGATGTAGCCATCTTCTGGAAGCCACAAGGCATATGGCACTCCATGATTCTTTGACACCTGAGAGCAGGGGTTGGGCCAATAGGCCCCTGAGCTGGACCAAACCATGACCCTGTCCCAATCTCTTCATGCAAGGAGGTTTGTTCATCATTCTGGGCAATTAGTCTTCACCTTTAAACTGTCCAGATCCAACTCCAATGCCTCAAACTGCGAACAAAAATAATTGACTGCACAAAGTCAGTGTAGTGATACACCCAACCTTTAAAACTTGTGCAACAACCTAAAACATCACCTGATTCCACCACCATAAAAGAAGGAGGGAGGGGGGAAGGGAGGCCAGTGAGCTGCAGGCTGGATAGGGAGTGGCTGTACCCTTCTGTTTTAAGATGGGCAGGCAGACCAGAGTGGAAACTCCCCTCTTCCAATCTGCCTGTTCCATAGTCATTTCCTTGGATTCGTCTGCCAGCCAATACAAGTCTGGCCAGGGAGCTTCAATCCCCACTGGCCAATCAGGGGCCAGCAAAGGAATCCCAAGCATCCGACTCTTCCCCATTGTGCTGGACATGTGACTACTGCCATGCCTACCCAGATGTCCCAAGCCTGAGAGACCCTCCTTGGCAGAAACAAATGGCACCCATATAAGTTTGGACCCCTCATATTGCATTCTTGACTTACATAATATGTCTGGGTGGTTGAAGTGTCACAGCACTGGATATGGCAGAGATAACAAATTGGAGATAAGCTGCTGGAAGTCTTCATTCAAGATCTGCCATCCCTGGCACCTTGTAGTGTCATGGTGTTTCAGGTCTCCTACCTTACTGTACCAAGAATGAACTCCATGTTAGGTCTGTTTTCACTTTTTCCTCTTCCCAGAGTTTCTGTTTGCCATGTAAAACAGCTTCAGGTGGTTTCAGGTTGATTACTTGATAGTTGGGTGTGTGTTTCTGTTGTGAGCTTATTTATTTCCTATGCTACTACTGTGAGCCTAGAATTATGTACGTCCTTCAGCTGTTCTCCCCAAAAAACTTTAAAAATAAAAAAGAGGAATGCTGTTTCTCCTATTTTTAATCTCTTGAGGAGAAAAGAGAACAGATGAAAAGGGAAATAAAGAACAAATAGTTCTCAACCTTGTGTCCCAAGATGTTTTTAGGATCAAGACACATATTTGGAGAGATCCATTTGGTGAAGGAGGATCCTCAAGTTGCAAAAAGATATAATTCCAGAGTCACATGGAGCAAAAGCGATTGTGTTCTTCTGAGGAAAATGATATAAGAGCAGGAAAGACCCATTTCTCTGAATCTGTCTTTTGTCCTCCAGTCTCTGCCTCAAACAAGTGACTAAATGGGGTGGCAATGAATCTTTTCAACTTGAATTCTGAGGATAGTATATCATGAGGTTCACATTCACAGTTCAGAGGGGAAATACCGAAGTCTTGAATGGATCAAAGCTTGGTTTTGTACACCTGGATTTTGTAAAAGATTATGTTTGGTTTTGTTTAAGTAGCAAAATTGTGGATATTAAGAGCATAAGGAAGAAATCACATAGTTAGAGTAACCAACCACATCAGTTTGTTGACAATGTCATGTAATTGAAGAGCCAGATAGTCAGTTACAAAGATTTTTACTGATTGTCAAGTGCTGCCTTTACCTCGATACACTATTTCTACTCCTGACAAATCTCAGGTTTCTTGTTTTACTCATCCTTTATGCTTTGGAAGATTGTGGGTTACTTTTTGTTGATTTTTATTTTTGATTGGTCTTCCAGACAGTGTAGAAGATGAGATGGAAATGGCTACTATACGACATCGACCTGAAGCCCTTGAACTACTGGAAGCACAGAGCAAATTCACAAAGAAGGAACTTCAGATCCTCTACAGAGGGTTCAAAAATGTAAGTGGTATTTTTTAACTTCTCCATAATCTTATGAATCTTGAGTGCTGAAGTAAGGAGAAGAAAGCTGTTGCGAGCGCACTGAAGCCTCTATTATCTCAGGCCTTTAGGAGGTGCTCACTCTTCTTTAGTTGCTGCCACCAATACCAATTCAGTACCAATTATTTACTGAGACATGTGTTGCTTTGAAACTTAAATTTGTTTATTTGATCAGTAATATATAATAGGTAAATCACAAGTTGCTAATCAATTTCTCTCACTCACTGAACTCACTGACACACAGAACCCTACTCTCACTGACTTTCTGGCTCACATTTTCACAGACTCACAGATCTCCCAAAACTCTTCTCATACTCCATACACCCCCCTTTATATCCCAGCCCCTCCCCCTTTAACACCACCTTCCATTCACTCATTGGCACCTTTTCCACTGCTCAGCTGTGACGGACAGGTGACGGCAGGGCTGAATGCTACAAAAGCTAATAGAAAAAAATGTGAAACAGATGTTAAAACAGAAGGTGTGGTAGTCAGGAAGGATATTGAACATGCCTATGGGCTGCAGAGGGAAGGAAAACTGAAGTTTACTTATTGATTTGAAATAACCAGTCAAATGATGGGATAAAGATTGCTGGCTGACCTGTGATGGGGTTACGTTGTGATTCCACTTTCATGTAGCAAAATGAAATGCTGTCCATCTGACATGCTGATAATTCAGGTCTCTTCCCCCAAACATCCTAATTTTGATTTTGGAACATAATGACAGAATCTAAAAAGGGAAGTTTTCAGTTGCCAGCAGAAGAAGTGAAAGGATCAAGTGTACGTCTCAAAGAAGGAAGTTCCACATCTGGGAGCAGCCATAGAAAAAGCCCTCTCTTGAATCCTCACCAGATATGCTTGTGAAAGTTGTGGAACTAATAGAAAACACTCCCCAGAGAATCTTAATACACATGGGGACTCATAGAAAAAATATGAACTTTCAGTAGCCTGGATCTGAGCTTGAGATGATTTAAAGGGCATGACCAGCAACTTTGAATAGGGCCCTCAAACAAACTGGCAGTCAGTGAAGCTGTTGTACTGAGGAAGGGGTCACATGATCCAGCCCTAGTCAACAGTCTGCTGCAACATTTTGCACCAGCTGAACTTTCTGAACTGCCTTTAGGGACAGTCCAGAAGAACCAGTAGGGAAACATTCATCCTATCTAGTTCCCAGACTAGAGGAGCTGAAATACTGATCCTCAGAAAAGGCCTTTCCAAAAGGAAAAACAGCTACAATGTTTTGGTGGTGGCAGCTTTGTAGAATAAAATGCTGTATACATTTGTAGGCAGGGAAGGGAGATAAGCATTATCTCAGGATTTCTGACATCAAACAATCTCCCCACATAAGTTTTCAAAGGAGAAAGCAGCTCCACATTTTGGGCAACCTGAACTTTTGACCCTGTCTATCACAACCCAATTAGCTGACTCTTAGGTAACTTTTTAACTTCTTCCTACCTGAAGAGGCTTATCAGAATCATGCTTGCAAGGGACTATGTGTCTGGTTGTAAAAACGGGAGACACAAAAGTACCCTGCTTCCTCGAAAATAAAACCTAACCTGAAAATAAGCCCTAGTATGATTTTTCAGGAAGCGCATAATATTAGCCCTACCCCCAAAGTAAGCCCCAGTTAAGTGAAACCCTACCCTCCACCATTGTGCAGCAATCAGAAGATAACATGACTGTATTTGAATAAATGTATATTGTTGTACATGAAAAAAATAACACATCCCCTGAAAATAAGCCCTACTGCATTTTGGAGCAAAAATTAATATAAGACCCTGTCATATTTTTGGGAAAACACCGTATTTAAAAAAAAACAAATATTGAAAATATTTTATATGTACTTTTTAGAAAGAATACAGTAGGACTACTTATACGCAGAATCAGTACCTGTGGTTTCACTTATCCAGTGGCATAAACAAACAAACAAACAAACAAACAAATAAATAATAAATAAACTGGCAGATAATAGGGTGGCACAGGTACATGAAGCAGCTTGGCACTCTAGAGATCGGTTTGTGAATTTCGTTGTATGTATATACGGTGTATATACATTGACTGACAATAAATTGAAATTTAAATAAACAAACAAAACTCTGAAATAGACGTTATCAAGGTATATTACCAGGATCAGCCACTAGATGGAACCAGAAACTATATTATATACAGGTAGCTTAATGGAAATGCAATTGTGGCCTGACTTCTCTGACAGAAGCAGCTTCTAATGAAATTGAGAAGCCACATTTGCTGGGGTTGGCAGGGGAGGCAGCAGCTCCTGGTTTCAGGGAAGCCTCCTTTGTGAGCAGAAGGGCAGGGAAACCCAGTCCTTTTGCAAGACTTGGCCAGTGCTCCCTCTTTCAACCGTGCACACACACACACAAAAAAACCCACACCTGGAAATGCTTCACATCTGCTGTTTCAGGTATCCATCAGGGGGCTTGGATCCAATCCCCTGTGGATACCGTGCTCCAACTGTACAGAACAAATACTCAGAAGCTCATTTGTATAAGCTGTGAAATTACTGTATTTTGCTTTATGGCTAGGGTGGCCTTATTAGATGTTGGCATAGCTTTGATGCTTATATCTGGTCCATGCTGTTTTACTGGTGCCTGGGAGGGCACCAATATATTGTGCTGAGCGTAGGATTCAGCATTCCATAAGCCAAGTATAAAATTGGGGTTGCCCCAAGCAAAAAATATATAATTATGGAAGTGGACATTAGATCAGCATCAAATTGGGCACGTATATAATGAAATGCCTGTTCTTACTTTGTGCCAAATTTGGAGATGTTCAGGCAAAGGGTTTTCAAGATCTGATTTTTTTAAAAAAGTGACAATTTTACCCTCTTGCAGAAGCAAGTGACCTTGAGCTCCAGTAGATTTAAAGCAGATCAAATACATTTATAAGACCAGATTTGCATATCTGTAAAAAATTGTCAGTCAGGCCCCTTTTTTCATTTGGACAGAATTCAGTGATTCATGGCTTTAATACACACTTTAAAATTAGTGATTTTAAAGTGAACACAACTCTTTGAATTTGGGCATCCTTATTAATTGCCAGCCTTTTCTTTTCCTCTCCTTCCAAAGTCCTCTCCACCCCATTTCCTTTCCATCCCTTCCAGGTCCCCTCCAACTCCTTTCCTTTCCAACCCTCCAGGGTTCTCTCCAACTCCTTTCCTTTCCATCCCTTCCAAAGTCCTCTCCACCCCATTTCCTTTCTGCCCCTCCAGGGTCCTCTCCAACCCCTTTTCTTTCCATCCCTTCCAAAGTCTTCTCCAACCCCTTTCCTTTCCAGCCCTTCCAGGGTCCTCTCCACCCCATTTCCTTTCCATCCCTTCCAGGTCCTCTCCAACCCCTTTCCTTTCCAACCCTCCAGGGTCCTCTCTAACCCCTTTCCTTCCCTTCCCTTCCAAAGTCCTCTCCAACCCCTTTCCTTTCCACCCCTCCAAGGTCCTCTCCACCCCATTTCCTTTCCATCCCTTCCAAAGTCCTCTCCAACTCCTTTCCTTTCTAACCCTCCAGGGTTCTCTCCAACACCTTTCCTTTCCATCCCTTCCAAAGTCTTCTCCAACCCCTTTCCTTTCCAGCCCTTCCAGGGTCCTCTCCACCCCATTTCCTTTCTGCCCCTCCAGGGTCCTCTCTAACCCCTTTCCTTTCCTTCCCTTCCAAAGTCCTCTCCAACCCCTTTCCTTTCCACCCCCCAAGGTCCTCTCCACCCCATTTCCTTTCCATCCCTTCCAAAGTCCTCTCCATCCCATTTTCTTTCCATCCCTTCCAAAGTCCTCTCCACCCTATTTCCTTTCCATCCCTTCCAGAATCCTCTCCACCCCCTTTCCTTTCCATCCCTTCCAGGGTCCTCTCCACCCCCTTTCTGCACCTTCCAAAGTTCTCTCCAGTTTCTGTCCCTTCCAAAGTTTTCTCCACCCCATTTCCTTTCCATCCTTTTGAGGGTCGTGTCCATCCCCTTTCCTTTCCACCCCTTCCAGGGTTCTCTTCAGCCCTTTCCATTTCCACCCCTTCTGGGGTCCTGTCCACTCCATTTCCTTCCTATCCCTTCCAGGGTCCTCTCCACCCCATTTCCTTCCTACCCCTTTCACCTTCACTCCAGCAAAGAAAAAAATTCCATACAGCTTAGTGGTGATTATCTCTTTGCACCACTTCAGCACTTTAACAGGGGTGTTATCCTTCCCAGGTGTCTTTGCTAGAGTGAAGGTAGAATACCACAGGACATGAAGGATGCAAACATCGTCACATTGTATAAGAACAAAGGAGACAGGGATGACTGCAACAACTACCGTAGCATCTCTCTTCTCAGTGTTATAGGGAAGCTGCTTGCCTGTGTCGTGCTGAAGAGATTCCAGGTGCTTGCAGAGGTTATACAGAATCACAGTGTGAATTTTGACCTAATGGATTCCCCACTGACTCTGTATTTGCCCTCAGACAGTTACAGGGGAAATGTAGGGAACAATGACAGCCCTTCTTTGTGGCCTCCGTAGATCTTACGAAGGCCTTTGATTTGGTTAGCAGGGATGGTCTTTTAAAAATACTTCCCAAGATTGGATCTCCAACTCAACTCCTTAACATCATCAGGTCCTTTCATGAGGAAATGAAGGGCACTGTAGTTTTTGATGGTTCAACATCAGATCCCTTTGACATCAGAAGCAGAGTGAAACAGGGCTGTGTCCTCATGCCAACCCTCTTTGGGATCTTTTTTGCTTTCATGCTGAAGCATTGCCTTTGGAACTGCAACAGGAGGTGTCTATTTCCGGACTAGATCAGATGGAAAGCTCTTTAATCTCTCTAGATTGAGAGCGAAAACCAAAGTCCAGCTGAAATACATGGAAAGTTCGTCTTTATCAATGATGCACCTGTTGTTGCCCATTCTGCTGAAGAGCTCCAACAACTTATGAATCATTTTACTAAGGCCTGCCAAGACTTCAGATTAACAATCAGCCTGAAGAAAAC